GTCCTCCCTTCACTTAATTTTCAGTTCAAATCTCTCTTAGACGCCTCCTTAGTTAAGCCCTCGCGCCGTCAAAATTACTGCCCCGCGCTGAGATCATGAATAACAGTGCTACGCCCTAACTTCCTGTGGCTTTCAGGTGAGTACGACTGAACGACAAGAACGAACCCGACATTTGAAACTTGGGTGGAAGCCTCGGTCCTGCGTATCAGTTTGCGAATCCATGGATCATAGACATATATGAAGTTCTCCTTCTGGAAACCGAGGTCACTACCTCCAACAGTCCCAACTGCCACTGTTCTGTGCTCAAAAATTAAGTATAAATGCTTGGGGTGGGCATTCCAACGATTATTTCTTTTTCGATTGCGATGACATAATGTGAGGAAACGACTTGCCGCGTGAACTGAAAACTGGCATTTTCTTTGAATGCGTTGAAAAAATTTACTTGGTTAATTACAGTGCTCTTTAAACCGAATCAGTGTTTCCGTGAGGTGATGCTTGCTGCAGTGTACGGTGTCTGTCAGTTTGATTGATTTATATGTAAGTATTGGTGAGGTACAACCTTGCTTACTGGGCTTTGGCTCATGAGCTTTGTCTCTGTTTCCCATCCACAGAAATTGTCGTGAACACCTGCCTTCGGAGAATCACTGTCCCCTGGTGCTTCCATAGCGTGCGTATTACACTTGCCGCTTCGCCCCTGTCTAGTAGATAACACGGAGTGTTTATGTTTATGATGTTAAGTGATCACCGCTTAAAAAGCAACATATGCTGGTCCCATCCACATGATACTTAATCGAAATCTGTCCAGTTGGTGTTTGTGTGGATGCATGCATGACAATCGTCATACAAATTTAGCATTGTCTCAATATCACACTATGTGTACGTGTTTATTTGGCGTATATGATAGGCTTGGTTTCTAAATGAATGTCAGTTTTTACTGGACGGAAGTGATTCTTGGATGGGACCGTATTTGGTTAGTCAGTCAATAATGCTTGTCTCTTCCTCATAGGCTTCCCTCCGAGTAAGATTGGAAGTGGGAAATAGAATATTTCATATCACAGCCGTCAGTTTTATGTGTTTTACCATCTCTGACAGTCAAGCCTTGTCGGGCGAGGTGTTCCGCTGCTATGCAGAACTGACTTAGTGTATGTTTCTAGAGTACGTTCTAATGAAGAAAAATGACCCGTGGTAGAACTGGCGCCTACGAATGTGCTCTGCTTGGAGTTAGAATTCGTGAGATTCTAGCTCAGAGTGCGCGACAAGAATATACGGCGTAACTGTGAACGACGCATCCCGCAAGCGCCGCAGCTTGTTAGGCCCACAGAACCAAGGAGATTCACAAGAACCACCAATGTTAGCGCCTTTCTAATGCTGTAATGCTGTGAGAAATCGTGATGACGCGACGTTCTTGATAGTAATGCTCGGCATTTAGTCACGATTTGCATTAATCACCTACTCTGCTTATGCGCTTTGTATTTCAGTTTGGGAATGGAACAATTTCTTAATGTTATAGAGCTCCCGAGCCCTGCACTCCACTTGGGTTTCATATCCAATATCCATATATCGCTGAACATCGATGAACATTGCACTCGTGGATTGAAAAATCTAGTACTGAAGAAGAAAGTAGTGTGACCCCGATTACTTGCCATGCATTTGATGGTAATGCTGAGACTGCGGCCAACGTGCTAACAGATTTTTTTGTGTGCGAAACACAAGGTTCATGCACCTTATATGTTCATAGAGACTAGTTTTAATGGGCTGCTAAAAAAACCCGATTTTCGAGCATGGTTGCTCGGCGGAAAGCCACAACAGTTAGTTTTTTATACGTCCCACACTCGATTTTATGTTCGGGAGACCCCTAAGCTCCTTTCCGTTGACAAACCCAAAAGTGCAGGTTAGATGTCGTGTGAGTACTCTCTACTTTGGTTTGCTTTGCTGCGGCACCACGTCGCATCGGGGCATGACGCGGTCTTTTCCCCTGGGGGTAATGTTGACATATTGTGTCAAGCAGAATATCGCTGAGTACTCAGGCCTCACGTACCGGTCTTAATAAGTTCCTATGGAAAACTCCTGTGACCGTTGATCTTATGTTATTACGCTCCATGTAGACATTCTATCTTTTGGCTGCCTTAAATGTAAAAGAACTTGCTTGTTGACTGGGTTTGCTAATATCAGCAGCCGTGAGCTGTGAATTGAGGCCTGTCAGGCTTCCACTTGGAAGTATGTTATCCAATTAGAGCAAAATTTAAGGTACTGTGAGTGATCTGCTCTTCGGTGTGAGCACTCGGAGCTTATCATTGAACTTCACGGTCTCGATGAAACAGACAGGCTCGCTTTGCCTCCAATTTTTCAACTACTCACTTGCAAATGCTGTTGGTACCGTAATTCTAGGTTTTTCATAGCACTCTTAGTCAGAAACAGTACTATCTTTGCTCAGAAATTCTTCGGTACTTTATTTGCCATCGCTCTATCTTTACGGACTATATCATGGCCACGAACAAAGCAGACCACTGGGGCTATTCGTCCTAAAGTAACTCATATCACTAACTCCTCTTGGTTCGGCAACCTGAGACGGTATTCTGGAGTTTGCATGATATGGAAGTCGCCCTGAAGATAGTTGGAGATGGACGATCCAGTGTGCCGATCTTCTGTAAATATCTGGATGGACTAAATGATGTTGCCATACATTTTAACACACGCTTTGCACAACCAAAGGTGATCATAATATCACAACCGCTGGAGGCGGTGGATGGACTTGCCTATCTGGACAGTTGTATCACACCAACTGGTAGTATTGTATACGAAGTGGGTGCTAGAATCGCTTGAGGTTGTCCCGATTTTCTTCAGCTTAGACACCTCTGGAGTCGAGGTGTCAAAGACTTGCCATATGGGCGACGGAGGTACTCACCGTCAAAGCGGTGTCTCGCACCCAGTGATTTTTTGTTCTCCTGTTTTCACTCATTAATCCGCCGTTCTTTGTTTGCACCCCCTGTCTTAAACTAACCGGTTTCGTAAGCTGCGACGATCCCAACCATTGTATGAATATGTGGCTGTGCGGTCTGGGAATGGCCAGATGGGCAAAGTGCGCAATTTCTTTCTATTAAAGACAACTGGATACAAACAGTTAGGCGGGAAATATGACTGCAGCCGAATGGTAAGGAACAACGGCCAACCCTTCATATTGTGAGGTACTTTCCAAACGATCCTTCATTTACGGTCAAAGGTGAAAAAGGGATCGTTTAAACTCTTTTCCACTGCCGACAAATAATTGATTCATGCAGTTCATGAGTTTCCATTTCATCAACTTTTCAATGTCTTTTCCAAAACCCAATAATCGCAAAGCTTTGGAATTTCACGCAGCTCGTATACCCTTCATTGAATGAAGACTAATAATTTCAGCAGTACAGCACTTGAACGGCGGGTGAACTCATAGTCCGAAAGGTCTCATTTGTGGCTTGCGAAAAAAAGAAATCATGGATGGAAACGTTTGGGAAATTGAAGATTTTGACGATAGCCATGCTCTTTTCAACCCATCAAGATAATTATAGAAGGTAATTAATAAACATAACACTGATCTTTTCTCCGTTCTCCAACTCGTAATCTAGAGTTGCCAGTGGATCTCCAGTGATACCACTAGCATCGTCATCTAGGATGAGGCCAGAAATCTTTCCAAAGCGGAAGTTCGCGTGCAACTAGGGTTGTTATTGAGTAGTTGGTCTCTCCTCGGTCGGTTTTAGTCAGCCGTGTTCAACTATTTTGGAATGACTAATTCTTGGGATAGCAATTTTGGTGTAGATCATGGAACAGGAATGAAAGGTACCCGAGTGATGATGCCCCGCTACTAATAGTGATATTGTTAGAACATGCTCGTGAGGCATACTCAGAAATGTCATAACTACTCAAACACTCAAGCTCTGAAATCATGCACTCAGACATATTTACGCGTGTGGATTCACTGACAGGCTGCTCTACGAGTTCTCAAAGTGGGTATTCAAATGTGTCCAAATCGCGGAGGTCTCCTTTATAGGTGGTAGTTTGGAGTTGTTGCAAATGTCTGGGATCCGGATTCACTGACAGGCTGCTCTACGAGTTCCCAAAATGGGTATTCAAATGTGTCCAAATCGCGGATGTCTCCTTTATAGGTGGTAGCTTGGAGTCGTTGCAAATGTCTGGGAGCTGTTTGCACGAATTTGGGTGATTTTACAATGCAGAGATATTGCATAATGTAGGTTTCCATCGGTGGGTATATATTTGACCTCTGATAACAAAAATGAAAAGCTCCGGGGACTTCCATTTAAAAGGTGGTCATTGATGTTGGGGCTTATCCCAAAGAACGTTTTAAGTGATCACTCAATTGATGACCTTCATTTAACTCAGTTAGAAAGGTCATCGGATTTGGTTTGCCTTTCCCATAACCTCCCCTTACAATCTGGTATCTTCTTGCCACTGATGCACTTCGCTTGCTATCTTTGTGCGTTACACTTATGTGAATTCTGTTTTGTGGTTGCACCAACAACTTTTTTAAATATTGATTGATCAGTGACTACTCTCGATTACTTGCAGGGTTCACGTGTTTCGATATTTTCCTTTCACCTTTCTGAATTTGAGATTACTGTTACGTGTTAATTACGTCTGTACCTTTTCCCGTTTCTCAGCTAACTTCTCGCTTTCATACAACCGTCCCTGAAAGGGGCCATCTTCGTTAGGTCCACTGACGCTTCTTTTAGTGGTCGATCCTATTTGGGAAGAGATCATTCCCTGAATATACCTTGGTTTGTTCATCCCATTGGCCTTTTCTTGGGGGAGAACTGTTATTCAATAGAAAATCCACTGCTTTTCAGTTTGTAAAAATGGATTGGGAAGCTCTCTCCTCTGTTGTTCTGAGATCTCGTTCACCGTCTTCCTATGCCAAACTTTGTAAACTGGCTGTTAAATTAGGTCTTTATTTTTATTCAGCTCATTGCTATTTCTGATTCTCAAGTTTAACCAATTTTTTGTTATAGCTTATTGTTTTGGCCTACCCAAATGAAAAGTTCCACAAGTCTAACCAGAGAAAGCGTGTCGCAGCAACGCAGTATACCTGAACTGCTTTTATGGGCTCAGTTATTTCATTCTGGGTCAGCAAGTGAATTCGACTATGGCCAGCTGACGGATGGAGGCCTTTTCCGAAAAATCCTTCAGGAACTGTAAGTAATATTTTGGATATTTAAACATTCCAATACTGTAACATAAAAACTTTCGGTTTTAGAGGCCAAAACATTAATTCCAATATCATCATCATCATCCACAGCATGACATTAGTGTTCAGTACCGATGCTTCAAACAAGATTCACTGCAAAACTATTGGGTATTCCGAGAAACCTGAACCTAAGCTGGGATGTAACTACTATTTGGTGACACGAGTTGTTTATAATCTCGTGTTATTCTGTAACTAGGGCCTCGGCCCCAAGAGGAGCCGGGTCACTCCAAGGGCATTGCAACAGTATGCACGCGTTAGAATTTTATAGCCAATGTTGGTCGCTGCTTTAAAAAACTTGGACGTGATTTCTGGCATCTGTTTTTTAACACAGCCAGAAAGATAAACATATTAAAGGACTATCCTATCAAAAAAGACCATTGCTTTTTACTTTGCACCTATATCTGTTACATGATATGTCCCAATATCAGACTCCTGTTTCCGTCAAAAGTGTTTCCGGGACTGTTGGTCCTCACCCGTACACACGCTCTACAGAACGGTCCTGATCCCAAACTTTTATACCCATGTACCTACATGCGGTACGGACTTGGCGGGATAACTTTTACTCACATTCGGGTTACGTAGGATGATAAATTACATTCAGTGTTTTGTTATACCTCTTATTTATCCAGATGTTGTTGCGGTTGCCAGGCTGAAAAAACACCCCCGTAGCCCTATATGTTGGTTTGCCGAACGCATGGGTTTGTTGGGTAGAGAGGACCTCAAGGTTGCTGACTGAAAATCCTAAACCATTTTTGTAAATCTGTGGTGTGAGAAGCCAGTTACTTTACTTAGCCCTTAGTGCCAGATTTATCCTCAACCAAAGGACAAAGGTGACTGGTTTTTCACCCCGACTATTCTCATGGTCTATCAGCATGCTTACCAATTCTATGGAACCTTATCAAACCGAACAAGTAAACTATGAGTTCTCCCACAAACTCTATGGGATTTTCTTAGCCTTCGGGTCGGTATTTTGGAAGAAAATCATTAAGCTCTAACACATCTGCGGTGCCTACCTGCCATACCGCTCGAAGGAAGCACGAGGATTTGGATACTGCCAGGTTGCTCAAGCCTAGGCAGGAGAAGTCGGGATACAGATGTCAGGTTCGAACTACGGACGTTCCGGTCAATAAAATCGCGCTCTAACCACTGAATCATCTCACCTTAATCAGTGTTTTGTATGTGGTTTGTTTATACTGCACATTGTAAACGTGTATATGCCCGGCACGGGCAACTCCGGGAGGCCCTATCTGGGTGACCTCTTTAGGAGGAGTCCTGTGTTCGGGAGTTGGTAGCCAGATGAATCTTGAATTACGTGGCCAATTGTTGAAACAACTTATTATGCCTGCCCCCCCCCTCCCCAAAAAAAAGCGCTCCAAAAGCATGCTTCCAAGAATAGAGCGAAATGGCTCCATAATATAACCGTTTTTATGGGTGCCAATAATGTGATCCAATACCAGGACAACGTTTGGAATGATTTCTGCAGTGAACTCACTTCCAATATAAGTCATTTCATGGAATTCTTATTGTAGGACGCCTTCACATGCATATTAACCCGTCAACGTACGACCAGGATTATATCGCTTGATGAAATGCTACAAAAATTCACGGTCAAAAATATGGACTGAACTGTACTGGGCGTATCCGTATACTCGAGTGCGCATAGTACAGAGTCCCAATCAGTACTGCGTGAGATTTCTCTGAAATATACGGCTTTGTTTATGATTGCGGCGCATAGTAAGCACAACCCTACCGGCGGATGATATCGACGAGGTTGTTTATAATTCTGTAGAATGTGATATTTGAACAGTGGGCAGTATTTCAGATTGACTTTTGACAGACCTGTGTGCCTCGTATTCCAAAGCTTGTCACTTTTGAGTAAATAGTCGTTTTAAGAGCCTGTCTGTCGAATATCAAGAGCTCCTGCGATCTAAAAAATATACTCCAGTCTTCCAGAGTTAAATGGGAGCTACTTCGCTGGTGGCTTTTCGGATGTCCTTGGTTTCGAATTCCATTCTTCAGCTAAAAGTAGAAAGGTTGTTGCAGAATGGGAGTTAGACTCTTATTTTCAAGTGGTACAACCAACGGAGACTGTTTTACATCAAACTATGTTGCACCACACCGGTGTTTGTTCTTTGGGATATGCTTGCATATATATGTATATATATANTGAGTAGTAATGGATAGATAAACCATATACTTTTCACTTATGCAGGAAATCTAGCTATTTCTACGCTTTGGATATCTAGCTTTAGTGAAATCCTTATGATTCCCTTTACACTCCTTGTATCTAACGTCCCTTCCTATAGTGACTCCTTTAAAGCGTTCGTTTGACTGTACGTCCCTCCATAATGCGATTTTCTTTCGTATATTGTTGAATTTGTTAAAATTTTCCCAGTTCGTAGTAAAGCGGTGGCGTTTTATTGAGGACAAGTATGATAAAAAATTTCTAAGTGCTGATGACTAGTCCCCCAATTTTTATTCATTTCAGTGGCCGCAAATGCACCTTGAAGGAAAGCATTGTATTGTCTGGCAATTGGTCTGGTTTAGGGTTTACGAATATAGCTATCTGTATTTGAATTTGGCCTCCTTGAGGTCAAAATACTGAGAGAACTCCATGTCCGACGACCAGTGTTCCATCTCCGGCGACACCCATGAACTGGAATGAGAATAAGACGATGCAGAGGTTTGGATACGAAATCATCTGGCATTGACTGATTGTTTACGCAGCCTGGTAGGTGTCACCTACCAATCCCCTGGCACCTAATCTTTGCAGCTTCGCGAGATCTGAAGTAGAAGCTACCAGTGAAAGGAAGAAGGCCTTCGCTGCGGAGTTATTTATTCGGAAATGCCAACTGACCGGTTACAGACCATTGAACAGGGAAACAAAACTGTAATCTGCATCTTAGTTACAAAAACTGAACACCGATCTTCCCCCGAACGAGTCTTCTTGAACTTTCCTGAAGATTCACTGACTCCACTCATTCGTCGGTCAAATCCAAGCAAATGCTACAAAGTGGCTTTACTAATTCCGCAACAGATTTCCCTTTTTCAATAGACGTAAAGCGAAATTCTACGAACAACACCTATTACTCGCGTGCTTTCCCATCAGTAGTATCACCGTTACACCAGTAATACTCCCTTGGGGCTTTCGTCAAAGGCTCATTTTTATCCAATCTCCAACCTCAATAGTGCATGGCGTCCTCTAATTTAATACATCGTTATAAGGTCGTATAGCCTTCAGAGCCGGTGCACATTAAAACTTAGCCTGTCAGTTCGGAAGTTCTGAGGTTCAAGTTGAGTCAAATCAAGCACCCTAAAATCAATTTTTGTCGATGTTCGTAAACTAGTTGATTGGCATACTGAAGTTCAGCTGCCGGCCTGGATCGTGAGTGCGCGCAAGTGTTGATTTGTATATAAATAAACCAATTCATATAGAACGGTTAACCGACACGTCTTGGGCTGATTCTGCGCCAGTTGGTGAACAGCGTCAATGACACCTGTTCATTAAATCACAACCAAGCGAACACCGCACGCTGGCATCCAATTGTTCGCTACGAATCCATTATTCCAGTACTTTTTTTGCATAGTTTCCTTTAACAACTTATTTACCACATCCACTTTCGTCTAAAATCGGTGGTCGAAATCTAAGGCAATTCACACCACCACAAGGGATTTTGTTATTTCCTTTGCTAATTCGCATGCTACTTCAAGATGTTTCTCAAAATTAAGACAATTAACTGTTTACAGGTACACGGACTGTCGGATGCCAACGTCTCAGAAAAGCGGTGAAGAGGGAACTACATTGTATTGAGTCATAGTTCTGGCTTAGTCCAGAAAACGCACGCTTCTTTTTCACTTCTTTAACTCACCTATTCGGTTTCGGTGGTTATTTAGTTAGGCTGTCCATATCGTGGTAGCAGCTACCTGCCTTGTATTCAATTCGTACCTGTTCGGATAAAATTCATGTCATTTTTCATCTGTGTTCATTCATTGATGCACCTGTCCAGATAAAATTTTGAACGCGATAACAAGAATATAATTGGGGTTTCTTTCTCCATATAGTGAAGGGAGGACAATTGAGGATGTACGTTGGTGCGATGCCGCAGATAACGTGAAGGACCGGTTGAGCAACTGGCATTTCCTGGCACAAAATATTCGTAATTATTATTTGGTAAGTGGCTCTTACTTCAAATACGTTTGTGTACATCGACTAACTGCACTGTGTGGGGCGGTATTGTCTTTCCGAACACACTCACTTATCCAGGTAATCTTATCCATGAAACTACTGCAAAATGGCTTCCAAATGCAAATCATTTATCGCACACTACAAAAGCTTGTCGTTGAACTACTGCTAAGTGGGTCCAGCAATCAAGTTGTCCGTCTTGTCGGTATTGGTATGTCATTTGAACTATGCTTGTTGCTGGATGTTGCTGATATTTGAGATGCTCTCGCACATGAACGACCTACCTATACGTTTATCGGAATGGCTTATGAGAAGAAAAGGAAAACTGCGGACGATGCTTTGTTGGAGAGTAACCTTTGGAACGTTACCACTAGAGTGATTAATCACTATTGTACTTTCAACTGAACTATTCTTCTACAAAGAGACCACACCTTATCGCGGTGTGGTGGTTTGTGTACCTGTGTGACTCACTGAGCTATACTGGGTAGTTTCACTTTGACACCGGGAGAGTTTCTCATGCCGAGTTAGTCAGTGGATAGAGGTATGACGAACACAGTCTCCTTGTTTTCCAGTTTGGCGTTTGGAACAGGTACGGCACACTGATCCTTAAAAACTTGTACTACTGTGGTAGCATGGTGACACCCACCCGCTGACCTACGGTCAGGCTTTTTAGCCATAAACTTTGCTTGAGGACCCTAACGTCCTTCTGTCTAGGCGTTACTGCCCTGACAGTATCCTACCCCGCGTAAAACTACGAAGGCCAAAATTAGACAATATAATCATGTCATATCAATCGTTGCGTGACGTCATCAGTTGTACTGCCTTGCTTTCTGCGTACAACAGGGTAGGTAGGTAGGCTACTGCGGAGCCCCCTTCGTTTGCTGTGCAGCTGTCTGGGTTTAAGGTTCTGCGCGTCTGTTTTCAGGAACAATCCTAAACGTCTCTAACTAGGTTCCCACTCTTACTCGTACACTGCATTTTCTCTGCATTGATGTATGCTGTCAGTCGGAAACAGGAATATAGGATACAAATAGTTTATTTGAATTGACATTCCCTCGTTCTCTATTCGCTTCCGGCTGCGCATCTCTGGTGATGAGGAGGCTGCAGCAGCTGAGTATGCCGTCATGTGTATTGGTTTGGGTCATCGAGCCGAAGTGCCTCTAACTGACTTGATAGCGTTTGATGGTCACTTCTGTGCAGTTCATTTGGCAACGCCATTTGATCTCACATACTTGTTGAAATTACCGAAACTAGAGACTCGATGGAATTCCTTGTGATCAATGATCTACTGCTACTCGCCTTCCAGGATGGGGACCTCGTGATCCTCACTGATGTGGCTGCCAACCGATGTCAGTGGCGTTCTTGTTGTCAGTTTCTATCCAGATTGCCTGAGTGGGTGTCTGGAGGTGTAGGCACCTCGGAATGATTGTGTTAAGCTAGCACTAAGTCCCTTTCCTCTCTACTTTTACTCTTTTCTTTAAAATAAGGCTTTCAAATAAGTCGTGGTTGTACGGCAGTAAAGCATCGGTGTTGAACACTGATGTCATGCTGTCGTTTTTTTCCCGGATAGTATACAGCACATAGACTGCCTGGAGACTCCTCTACCAACGTACTCAATAATTGGGTAGGTATATTCTCAGGGGTTCGGGGTAATAGGTCCCGGACTTGATCAGAAATTTTCTTTCAAAGTCTGTTTGCATGTGAGCCCAGAAGTGAACTTTCAACAAAAATTACTGTTAAAGCCGGGCTAATTGTCCCTTATTTCGTAAACCACGCCTACCCGAAGGGTCACAAACAGGACGAGATCGGTAGTATGTCTGTGGCTTTCAAGAGGCCCCCTGCACTATTTATGTTCACCACCTGACCTCACTTCACGATTGCTCCTCTTTTGGTTCGGGCGGTGCACAGTACTCTAGTCCTTGTGCCAACCGCAGTCTGCGTCGTCTCTAAGACCTGAAAATGAGTCACGGTTGAACGGCTTGATTTGTTTGTTTTTCGAGAAACAGCCGTCAAATTTATTACAAGTTGAATGAAATGCGGCATTCGATCGGCTCCGTCTTTTTCATTAGTCTTTTTTTATTATAGGGATAATGGAAAATTAAATTAATGCTGAGAGTCGTCGCATATCTCAAACCAGGTTTGAAGTGCAAGTATGTAGGGTCTCACTTCTTTCAGAATCGGCTAGTGGGTTGGTTTACTTCTCAGCGCAAACTAATGACCTTTGTTTCGTACCAGATTGCCACTTTCCACAGAATTCCATCCCCTTTTACTTTTGCTTCTCGCCATCATCATGGACAAAGGTAATTGTAATTCACTACCAACACAGACGTTAACCTCAACCGAATTCACTTAATGATAAGCATGCCTAAACCCGAATAATCTGTTTATCAATGGTCAGGAAAACAACACGACCCAGCGCAACTACACCTGAAGAACATCAATACTTCCAAAAGTTACCTGTCTTCCCGTCGAAATATCGGCAGCGATGGCTAAACGTCCCTAATAGATACTCTGAGGACATATTCTGTGAACTAAGAACCAAAGTTGTGTGGGATGTGTGCATTCCGATAGATTATCAGTGAGAGTTGTTTTGCTGTTTTGGGATGCTGAACCTTATCGTAGTGCAACCTGTTATTTAGATTCCCTCTTACCAGGTTGGTCAGTGTTTAGAGGTCTAATAAACAATTTCCTGGCCCTCCAGACTGGGGATTTGAACTAGGATAACATATTAAAAGTTAGCCTGTTTCGGTATGCTTACGTCAACCACCGTTGCCGTGTGATAAGATGTTTCAGTAATGAATCAGAGTAATTATAACAGCAACTGGAACTCATCCGGTTAAGATGGCTGGGATATGTACAACTCACTGCTCACGACCGTCTACCAAGGAAAGATAAAAAAGAACTTTCCTTAGTTTCAGCCTGATTTTATTTGGAAACTGGTAAGCAAAAATAGTCTGATTAATGTTTTTGCGCGTGTTAGTGGAACTATGCTGATTTCTTTCCTTCATTGTCTCTCACTCTGTCAGTACGGAAAAATGGCTTCGGTCTAAGTAAAAGAGCGTAATCCTCATGGTGTTATTCAGACAAATGCAGATTTATAGGCTCTTTAACCTTTAATACTACTTTGCGCAACGTGATGAGGAATGTGTTTGCAAACACAAGCATTGTATGCCTAGGAGGAAACACACAGTGTCTTAGTAGTGGTCTGATGTGCGATTCTCCGAAATATTGTCTGCGCGTTTCTATCACATTTTGAAACATAGGGGATTGCGGAAATAAACAGTCTGCGAAAGTTCGTGTGAATGTAAGTGATGGAGAAATGCGAGGCAACTTGTTGTAGTTATTGGCCTCCAACAAGTTATTTTCACTTCCTCACTTTACTGACCAGCATGTTAAAATCTGAAGATATTCGTGCTCGTGTGTGAGTTGTTGGAAACGCGGTAAATGTGTCACTGTCTTTGCCTTATCTGTCCAGCATCCGTACGCTGCTAAGTTGGAAGGACGTCCCATATTTTCATCTTGTTTGACTACCCACGCGTGCTTTGACGTACTTGAACATTGATTCAAATTTAGTCCACCAGAAATCTTCATGCCGGTCGAAGCAGTTTATGAAACCCTTCTGAAATGGTTTGTTGTCAGCTTTGAAAACTTCTGGTCCACATGAAAATCCGTTCACAGTGGCAATTGAACAGGTAGAGTAATATTCAACCGACTTGAATTTACTCGGGGTCACTCTCGGGGTATTCTCTCCATTGATGGACCGCAACTAGGCTGTCGTTTTATCAGTTGCTACTTCAGTAAAGTGGTCCACCCATCTCCTACAGTTACTGGCGGGTGCTAGAATGAGAGAAATGCAATTATCACGTTAAGTATGCCAGTCGCATAATTCCTCTAACAGATGTCATGTTAATTCCAACTGTAATTGGTACTAATCGGCAAGGTTGTCAAGCGTGAAAAACTGCGATCCGCGACGTTCAGGGAGACCATTCATCTCGTAGGGGATGGACCCAACCAATTACGAGGCATGAAATGCGACTTCAACTTATCCTTTTTACTATACGTTAAATTATATTGAATAGCAACATGTCTCCCGCATTCTATCAGGTTCACAATCCAAATTATTCTTTGGAATTTGTGACCAAACGAACACGCTTGTTTAGCGATACTTTGTGACACAGACCAGCCAACAGACCGACAACCATAATACTTCTAACTTGAGTGCATTTCTCGAAAGTAGTCATTATCTATTCCTACAATAGTAGTGACTGGGCGTAACCCCAACCAGTTTTCTGTGACTCATTGCCATGTCTTCTCCCACACCCAACCCATATTGATCATAACGTTATGGCTATCGCCATGACTACAAGCAAACTATGTCATTCACACTGCTTAGTATTCCTGTTTCTCTCCTAGTGTGGAGCACAAGCCATTTATGCTGGTTATTCCGAGTGGTCAGGTCACAGCGAGGGCGAACAAACTGATGTGTTTTCGCTGTATCACCCACATATACTCTCCTTGTTTAACATTGCTTCGTTATAGTATGTCCCATACCTCTAGTCCATAAATACCTATCTGGATCTAACTTTTCAGTATGGTGAAATCTGTCATGCTTGCCCCTACTGAATATTTAGAGAACAGAGGTAGTTCAAGGCCAAGTGCAAATGGCAGGTCAATAATAACCACACATTTACTGTGCACGCCAGGTTCAAACTTTTCATTTAGTTTGATTTGGATGTGTTTCCCATCCACGCGTACTGGCAAACAGAATTAGGTCGATAATATGACCACGTAGGCACACAGCCGCAACAAACGGCTGGCCTGTCCGACCCGGGGCGACTAACAAAGCGCACGTCACCACTGGTCACCGGATAGGCTTGAGACAATGAGTCATTGATGCAGCAGCCACTGGCCATTAATTTAGGCGCGTGCTTGTGTGGAACACGCATTGAAATCAGTCGGCTTCACTACCAACGTTCACTTCAACTAGCTGACCCGAATTTCCACCTCACACAGATTTTCACTAAATCTTGCGTGCTTGTGAATGGTCACTACGCATATTGTTTACCACACCGGTGAGCGCGCCATAGATCTTCCTACACCGCATAACTCACCATTAAGCAGTGAAGGTAACGGTCAGCTTCCATTGTGTTGGGCTCCATGTTAACGTATTAGCTGTTGATAGGACTTACTTGATTTCTGATAATGATAGTTCCTTTTGACACAGTAGTCGTTTAATAATGGCCCTTTGAACAAAAACTCCGTTTCGATTTTCCAACGGACTTCGTTCGACAATATTATGCGACTACCAATTTTTTCGGGATTTTCATGCGGAGATCGTTGATACAGAACGTCCAAGCCACACAAACTATAGCCTTCCATGACTGAAAAAATGTCCAAGGAAATATACCACGTAAAGAGATCTACTTACATAAACTAATGAAATCTCCGATTATCCCAACAAATACATTTCACCATGCGAGAGCTTGTGGAATCGCAATGATCCACGAACGCTACCATGCATTAGTTGAAAATAGGCAGCTTCATTGTGTGGGCACAAGAAGAGACCAAACTTGATTTTTCCAGGTTAAAACTCATTGTATAAAAGAGTTCATGTACCCTTCCTTTTTTTGTGGGTCACTGGTTGCGCAACAACACACCTTTTAAACATGTCCACATTTCAGCACGCATACCGGCGTTGCTCGTAAATGAAAGCAAAGAAAAGTTGAAGCTGGTTGTAAACCTCAGTTTTTCTTGACTAGGACTGAAAATTCATATACGGCCGATCCCTTTTGTTTATCTGGCTCTGGCTTCCATCTTCTGATAGTCAACAATCCAGGAAATTGGTGCTTGGTGTACGCAAAGACTAAGGTAGCTACTGTATTCACATAATCTTCGGCTTCAAGGAAATGCTGAATTATCGGGGGTCTCACTGTTGAGCGTGCTGTTACTAACGAACTTGAATTTGGTATCGTGGGTAAGTCTTTTGCCAGAAAACCACCTTATGGCACCGCAAAAGTTGAAGATGAACTACCTGGCCGTCGTACCACAGCGTGACAAATGGTCAACCGTCGCCTTGATGGACAGAAGTGACTATGTACGGAACGTGGGAGATTCTAGATCAGACAAAATCCACACGGGGTGTGGAGAAAAATTGGCTCAACATCTACGGACCCTCTTGATAGGTGAATTTGTCACAGGAACCGTCGAGAACTCTTTGAAGTCAACGGGCTCGCATATACCACAATTCTACGATTTTTAACCGTGCGAACTTTTCTTTCAGACCGATTCTATGGAAAGACAACTTAGCAAAAAGTAGCAACCTGATTGGTACGAACCCTGAAAATAGTGTGGGATTTGCTACTAACCCAAGTCTTCCGACACGCAGTACCAGCAGCGCAACTGAACTTCCAAGACAAACACACACCTTTCACGTTTGGACACCAAATCGTGCCCCTACATTATGTTGTGAACCTCATATACGACTTTGTCCAGCTGAATGGTATCAGACATGGAAAACCAGAAATGTGACTGAGGATTCTAATCCCGTTCCGCGCAAAGACTATCACTTGCAGCTTGCCAGATTGGTATACCAACAGACTAAAGGTGTCGCCATAAGAAACTCACCTGGTCACACCTCATCAGATTTGTTCATGACCACCCAAGAAATGAGAGCTGAAGATCTAGCCGGTTGTGTTCAATTGTAAAGCAAAAATACGTAGACGATAACTTAGCCAGGACAAAGGCAGTTCTGTCGAATCCAATGCCATCATAAGATGGAAATCAGAACTGCGTGAACATAAGGCATCGACCATATCGTTCGAACCTCCTTGATCATTGCCTCATCTGCAACACCCCGATGGAAAAAACTTCCGTTGTTTTATCCATCCTATGTTCTGTAATATACACCTGCTGTGATATTACAACAGTTCATTTCTGTCTTATCCTCAAGTTTGTAACCAGAAGGGCGATTTTGAATTTGAGTGCCCGAGTATGAACTGTAAAAACTAAATCCGAAGTACGGAATACGGGAATATTATCTGCCATTATTCGGGTTCAACAGTGGCAGTATTAGTTTCAAAATGAACATTAGTCCGTTCAATGACGAGTGGATCAACCTGCATGGATTTGACGCCGGAATGTTTTACTGTCATGATCGTCAACCTTTGGGTGGTTGTAACAATTCTAAACATAAAAACCCACGTTGGCGTGCTTATGCTCGAAACAAGATCGTGTCGCGTAATTCTAACGTTTAAACAATCCTTTCAGAGTTGCTAACCTCAAATCCCAAGAAATATTTGATGCTGTGAGCATAAAGTATTTTAGTACGTACCAACTACCTCGACATTGGCGCCTTTTTCCTGGTGACAAGGTTTTCGAAGCAGTTGGCCGATGGAGTATTTTCGGTGAGTAGTGATGGTGGGCATATTTCCGAGACAGTGGCCACAGGACCTTTCTGGACATTTCTCGAAATGTACATTTGCAACAGGTATAGAAGTACCGAACCACTTTGACCAAAGTTGATAGCGTTAGCTCTCATCAGCTTAACTGCAGGTTCTGGTCGGGTAATGTTGCGGGAGTTTATGATCCACTGATTGCTACGTTGCCTTTGCAAAAACAGTTTGTGACCATTTTACTGGGACTTGTTATTCCACCCAAAAAACATCTGCACTCATTACGCTATGAGCCAGTAGTAATAAAAAAATTATTGTTCAGCTATAACACTTTCATTGGCTAGGAAGGAAGTACGACTCTGCCGGGTTTCCCAAGCATGGACGGAAGCAGTCGAGATACTGGAGCTTGATTTGAACCAGGGACCTTTCGGTCAGTATGTTCGCGCCTTAGACACTGGAAAGTCTCAAGCCCAAAGCCCCGTATACTTTCATACCAGGCCTGATCATCTAGATGGTTACTCGGTGGATGCAATTCAAATTTAGGGATATCAGTCTGTACTGTATTCAACTGATTAAAATTTGACGTTCCTGTGAATGGACTCTTTGTTTGGCTTTCGCGTGCATGATAAAAAATCACGCATTTCCAATCCCCTATTGATGCAGAGATGCCGTACGACCGAGAAATAGTACAAAGGTTGAACTACCGCTCGGATGCTCAAGTACAGATAGTGAAAGACCTGCAGGCGGTTGCGAAGCGCGAATCTCTTGGCAGTAGCCTACTCCCTTACGCTTGAGTTCGGACCTCTGATAGTACATTTGTGTGTGGGTCCTCTATGAGGAAGAGATGACATGATTGACGAGTTACTTTTAATTCATTATGGTCCACGTAGCACCTACAGGATATATTTTCATGAGGCGGAGCACCAAGCGTGATTTTAATTCAAAGTGCATCTTTCAGTAGTGATTTCCATCGTAATCACGGTCAGGGAGAATGATTTGTGGAACATTCAGACGGCTATTTTCCTCCAAAAGATGACGTATTTTTCACATATCGTATTGGCCAAAAAACTTTCGGATTTGGTGAGAACTTACGGTGCAAACTCTTCTAGTAATGTTCCCTTAAAAATATTTTTACATCTGTTTGTGTACTCCATCCGGGTTGAGCAGGACGATCACGTTTGCTTCATTCTTTAGGAAAGGCTTCACCAACTGATCTCAGTACCATTTTGCATAATGTCCTTAATCCTCTTCCACGAAGTCTAAAACTACCGTAAATCCACACGCTGAGATTTTTGTGGGGACGCATTATAGCCAGGTAACCGTACAAATACCCAAGCGACGGCTTCACCGTTCGTTCCTCGTTCTTGTTCATTCTATTCTGGTTTGTCTGATGTATTCTGGGTTTGCCAATTCATCGTTCGACGGCAGTACTTGAGCCAGCATCACCTAACTATAACTGACTGCTTGATCACCTGCTGTCAGTAACACTTTCCTCTGCTCCTCTGTAGTTGTTCCTCTCTAAGCCGAGCAGACTATCTTACTGCATTTAACACTTTCCGATTGTTTCAGGAAGCTCTCCAAGAAGTCATTATAGTACGACCGCCTAACATCGTCCTTTTGAGCAGGCGACCAAAATCTGGTGAGTGAGTTAGAGACCTTTTAATATGCTTGTATTTTTCTGGTGAACATGCTCATGAGTCTATCAAGCCACCCTTTTCTGGGACTCATATTAACTGGTGCTGTAGTAATGTTTCACTAAACCTAGTTCGAGATTAAAAAAATAAAAATCTGGCAAAAAATTCATATATGCTTGAGAACTACATGCTGAATCTCGGTTTTCGCATGCACTGTGTGTATTTGGTGTGAATAGATCGAAAAGTATGCACCGGATAGCTCGGTTATGGGGATAAGACAACTGAGAAGTGCTGTGTTTACAAACCGCAACCAATATTCAACCTAGGGATGAAGAGGTTCACCTCATCAGGGTCATTTATTGATTAGTCACCTACTGAGTTTAGTCTATCTGCTCTAAATGACAATTACTCGAGATACACCAAGATCGTTCGCGTAGATCATGGCGAGTTGAGTGACTGTGCAGGCTTGACAGCCTAGATCACAGCCTCTGTTATCAAATAAGGTGAATGCAAGTAAGGACACGTTGTTAACGGCTCAGCACTTATCAGCGGGACTGAGCCACTGTCTGGAATTGCTTGATTAAATGCAGATATGGTGGTATGTTAAACTGTGGAGCTTATGCCCTTCTCTGCCTTTTTCTTGTTTGATCGTGCAAGCTCTCCCGGATTCCGGGTGTCTAGACTCAGGCGACTGAACTCATTCTAGATTAAGTCGCATCCTTACGCAGTCTTTGTGGATGTCATTCGCCTGACTTGTCATCAACACCCGCGTGCCCACTGCTGTACATTCACGAAAAGTCATCCTAGGGTATCTCGGTGTATTTTCTTGGTACAACATTCTAATCACATGGTTTCAATAGACAATCTGACAGCCCACTATCGCCTTCGCCCTTCTTGTAGCTCATCAGTTGGAGGACTTAAATGGATAATTGAACAGTAAAATATCCACAGGTTTCCTGGTTTGTCGACAGTAAACGTTCATTTAGACAACCGAGGTGGTACTCAGGCATTTTATCCTATTTACTGGTGTCTGTGTTGTCAATCATTAGCCGGAAAATTTTTTGTGCGGTGACCTTAGGCACCATGAACTTTCTATCCTTTTAAAGGTAAACGTTTGTGGGTACAATCATGCTTACTGAATGAATCACAAGCCGGTATACCTTGCGAGGTCAAGCATAAGTCCTGTTTTGCGTTCAGGGCATCCTGAACGATGCATTGGTTTAAGAATGGAGGCACAATTTTCATCCTGGCTAACAGACACGAATAACTTATTTTGAAAGCTCATCTTATCCTCACGATAAATTTCTGGTTTTGAGACGCCACGTTTTCTTTTTTCTTCCCTTATATCAAAACGAACTTCGTGCTAGCTGAATTCTTTTCTACACTTGATAACTTTCTTGCCAGTGTCTTATCATTGATCAAGGTAGCAGTTTTGACGCTTCGTGGTGTCACCGATCAAGGTAGCAGGTTTGACGCTTCGTGGTATAACGTAAGTCTACACCGAAATCGTAATTCTTCAGTGATAACTAGACTAACAAATTGACAATTATGTGTCACCAGTGGTGCACGATGACGTCTTTAGAACCGCTCACCATATTCACTTGTGGGTCTTCGAATTTACTCTCCATGCAGCGCATTCATTTGCAAGTATGTGCGGCTCATCACAAACTGTACATGGCATCGCCCATTTTGCGGGGGAGGCTATCGGGTTTGTTTGATGTGACAGGTCGACTTAGAAACAACGTACCGAGTTTCACAGGGAAATTGTCACGTCACATGTCTATGAGGTAATTTGGCTATAGTAGTCAATTGACTGTGGATGTATAAGTTGGGCATCGATGGATCGCCAGCATATCTCTTCAAACGAAGCTGATGATTGACTCCTGACTCTTGCACTAGTGTTCTTCCGATAAGTAATGACAGTCATTGCGCAGTCCTCTATGTCCAAATGGGTCTTGTTTTGCTGCGTTCTTGATGTAGTCTGTATTTACTCAAGACCAGATATTTTGTTTTTGTGGTGTCCTAGGTGTCGCAGTAATGTTCGTTACGGACTAGCCACTTGACTGAATGGCGCGAGCAGCATACCATGACTTCATGGTAGACCACTGTTTTAGATTCACGATCTTAGATACATATGAAAAATCGCTGGGGAGAAAACGCTGATAACTTCGATTTTTTTTTTTCAGTCTCTTTTCAAGTCTTTTTTTAAGTGAAAACTCTTCAGCTTGGCTTAAGACTAGCGTCGTCTTATATACTTGTATACTCTTCAGTGGTTTCCAGGCCATTGGCATTAAAGCAGCACAGTTTGCTATGCGTCGTGGCATTCAACGGAAAACATTTTTCATTAGCAACAATCTTTAGGCTGACACTAACAGAAGCACCCAGTGATGTCTTTGTAAGCCCCACATGCACCACAGACGCCTGTAACAGTTTATTTCCCCATTTTCCCCCAGAACATGGTCATAAAAGCATTTGTCCCGCTTGTAAGCCCACCAGTATGAGTCACTGTGGTTGTGCGCATACGCAACAAGCAACAATACCGCACAGGGTGACATACCCCCCATTGACACACACTTCAATACAATTTGTACCACGGAAATAGTCACACTGTCTAACAACAGGCTGATAAGGCCTAATATCGAGTCCAAACAGTATAAACATGCGTCTCTCGTTCGTCTAGCCTACAAAAACTGCTGTATATAAGGCTACACTCAAAGTGATGTGATTATTACGGCGACGGGTGTAAACCAGCTACTGCAGCTGGCTTATTATTTACATACGAATAAGCTCCTGCAATAGAGAGACTTCAGCATACCGTATTCGGCATTAGCACGCTGTACTTATCCGCTTCATGTGGCCGTTTCTTTTCCTGATTACTTAGCCGATTGCATAGGAAAATTCCAATTTACACTGACCGCGGCTACAGTAAATAATCAGGTTTACTGACATAGCATCGGTAAGGGTTAGTCGAAAGAGGCTCGAAAGACTCACAGAAGCCTAGAAGCCTTGTTAACATGCGTTTTTCTTGTTTCCAAAGGATGCGTTATTGCTAGCTGAGTTGCCAAGCTAGTTAAGTTCCCTTCAGCTTCACAAATCTACCCGTTAAATTGCATTCGAGTGCAACCCGAGGTTTTTCGTTGTGCTCACTGTAAGAAAGCTTGGAGATGGCAACTCACCAGATATTGTAAGCAGTCTTAATAGAATCAGGTAGACGCGGGATAGCGAATGAAGTGGCTCCCAACGCGTGACCGATGAAGTTTTACATAATACATAGTATGGGCCTAGAGGAAATGAATGGTGCACCCCGTACCAGTCGCTCGGATACCGCACGTAAAAACCATACCTTTCGCAATTCGAAAGTTCATGTTCTTTGGTTTAGTCCCTTTTATGGCTAACCAGAACCTGACTAGCATTGTGGTCATGAGTGCATTGGTAACTAATAGGCGCACTGGAATTTCCGGGAATTGATATTGGATAAAATCAAAGTCAAATCGATTACCATATCGATGCTTTCAGAAGTTGCAGTACATGAGATTTCACGAGACTCGTATGAAAATTTTCAGCAGGACCTTTTCTATTTTGGATAAGAGTTTNGTAGGTAGGTAGCTTTCAGACAGCTTCGCTCCGTGTGCCGAACTACTCGTCCCGACAATTCTGCGGCGAATAGGTTAAATACTCAGGCCGGTCATACTTTCCGATGCCATCATTTTTGTTGGACAGTAAGAGATTCAAAATAATCATCGCCTGAAGACAGCAAGAACTCAAAATGCATTATATGTAAATATTGCAGATGCCTCTTCCTTATTAAAGGGCTCACCCCGTGTGGACTTTGATGAGCAATCTATGTGAACGGCAGTGAATAAATATCGGAACAGACGTAATACACTCTTATAGGGTTTGCTGAAAATTCTTCGACAGCCCACCACCGGTTCCGCCCTTCTTGGAGCTCATCAGGTAGGAGCAGTCCCAGAGTCTCCGTCAACCTTATATTTTACTTGAACCCAAATTGCATGAAGTTAGCCAAATCCATTTGCAAACCAATTTTGTTTTTCGGGAACATGGGACCCAGCTGAGTCTCTGGTTTATTGGGTTTTTAAGCCTAAAAACATCTGAACAGCTTTGATTAACGTCCTGCAGAACAAAACACTGACTAGAGGGCGCTATTGGTCTTCATGAGCTGGTTGGTTCTGAGGATTTGGAATGGGGTGACAGCTGTCATCGGCTTTCAGGTCTACTGAAAAACAAATGCATGTACACCTAGCAAGTACGTTTCTTGTTCATTCATGTTGCGTTTTGCGTTATGTCCAGTCCGCTGGTGGAGTGTCACATGACCAACACTTCCAAGGTACTGGCAAAAAACTTTTCTGACCGGGCAGGAGAACTGAGGATGATGGTATTGGCAGCGTAGAACTAAGTAGATATATTCATTTGGGTCATCGGAGCGATTGTTACGAATTACGAGCTGTGATAGGATCCTGTCTAAGGATGGTCACTTTCAAATGGTGATTGTAGCGCGTTTGGTATTCGGGAACCAACCTAGTCCATAGAAGGCGTTAGCCGTCAAAGATGAAGGGCTATCTGATACACGCAAGCCTCCTGATTAAAAAAACTCAGTTATTGCTACAGTACGTCAACCACTATTTTAGCCATGCCTTCGCTTAAGTCGATTTGCCCTGTCACTAGATGAAACTTGACTTTCGAGAGATTTTGAAATGAGGGCCACTTTACGATATCACTACTACATAAGCTTAGCTTGGCAGGGAAATTTCTGCAAAACGTGTGGCACACCCTCCTCTACCCCATTTGTTGCTTTCTATGTTTATGATTTATCGCTTGATAGGCATAGTTCTCATTTGGCAACGTTTATCTATCACTTGATTTGACCAGTGTGTACCCAAGCGTCCTTCCTCCATGCGGTCAATGACGTGCAGTAAAGTCATCATCCGGTATTTGGAGTGAGCAGTACGACATACATAGCCGGCCTTTATTCACACAACTCCACGAG